GTTTCTCATAACAATTTTTGGAGCCCCAAAAATTAAAGAAGAGAATGAAAATATAGAAGATAAAGACAAGACAATAGATGAACTTATTAATGGAGCAAACATGGGTGAAAGTGGAAAGAAGGGAAGATGGAAAAGTGAATTTGACAATTTGGAGCTTTATCCCAGATTTCAAGATACAGGAGAAAAAAAAGGATGATAATGATGGAGTTAAGAAGAGAAGCCTTTTCAGAAATAAGTCTGACAACCAAAGACAAGCTAATTTCCATTTTAATTATTTTTTGATCTGCCCTTTATCCTGCTCTCTTGAAGTCTTATTTCTCTTTTTTTATATGTGTTCCACTTTCTGTTTTGTATCCCTTCTATCTTTTTCTGTTGTGTTTTTTGCATCCCCTGTGCCAAAACTTTCAATTGTCTCTGCAGAATATGTCCTTTTTGTTTTTTAACTGCTGCTTTTTTGGGGACGGCTTTCCCCATTTCCTCTCTACTCTTTCTACCTTTCTATAAATTATAGTATTGTCTAATTGATTCTTCTTCTTCTTCTTCTTCTTCTTCTTCTTCTTCTTCTTCTTCTTCTTCTTCTTCTTCTTCTTCTTCTTCTTCTTCTTCTCTTTTAGTTTCTTGCATTTCATTTAAATTCCCCCTTTCAGATTCTTCTAAACAAACAGAAAGTTTGTGATTAAACAAACTTTCTGTTTATTTATTAGCTATCAAAGATTCATGTACTACTTTTAACATCAAAAATATTTCTTCATATATCTTAAACTCCCATTTTCTAACATTTAAAAAATCTTTTTAAACCTCCCCAATTATCTCTCTTCACAGTTGATTCAAATTTAAAGTCTATTTAATTTCCTTGTTTTTCTTCTTTTCTTCAATTATTTCTCCTCTTTTCAAAAGTAGGGTGCTCTACTGAGTTAATATAATCCAATTATAATCCAGTTCTAGGAACAGACAAATCTAGTTATCAATTAGCTTTCTTCAAAGAGAGCAAACAAAAAGGAGAAGAAAAAAACAGTCCAAATTATCTACTTCTGTATAGCCAAGGTCAGATTTTCCAACTGCTACTTCTCTTATTTTGTCTATTTTAATTGTTTGCCAATCCTGTTGAACTTTGTGGGGGTTTTTGCTCCAGTAGATGGCACTCTGAATTTCTATTTCATATAAGGTAGTCTAACAAATACAGCTGATTTTCAAAATATCCAGGGAGTTTAAAATACACATTAAAAATGCTATTTTCTCCTGAAAATCTGTTTTTATAATGCTTTAGCTTTACCCACCTTCCCAAGTACTTCTTGGACTTTTTATTTTATAATCTCAAATTCTTTCTTTTCTTTTTTCTCCCAAGTGCCTAATAGCCGCTGTTCCAAGCTCCGGAATAACTTTAAAAACACCAATTACCAATTTCCAAAAAATTTTATTAAGTGAGAGTTGGCAGTTATCTCACCCAGTTCCAACTCTCTGTCCAAATACTGCTCCAGCTCAATTCTTCAATTCGGTTGCCCCAGCTTCGAGAGGACCATTGGAAAATGGCTACTGCCCCTGTTGCCAATCGGGAGAGCTGCTTCTGTCCTGGCGAGGAAATTGCCAATTCCTCACTGTCCACAAAATGCCTCTCCTTTCTTCACTGTCCCTTCAAGATGGCTATGGCCTGCAGAGGGTAACAGCTGAATTTCGCGGGGTTCATCAGAGCTTCGCTATTTTCCAGTCCGTTTCTGCCATGACATCCACCGGAAGTCCCAGTGGCATTGTAATTTTGAATGATCACTAAATGAGCTGTTGTAAGTCAAGGAATTCCTGTATAAGTATTCCAATAATCGGTAATGATAAAATATTTTTCCAAAGAGAAAATTCCTGATATATGATGTAAATATAAATTTCTGATATAAATTTCAGAAATGCACAAAAGATTACAATTACCTCATGTACTACCTATATCTATTGCATTTATGTATCATAATAATTTTCAATAATCTCAGTAACAACAAATTTATATGCAACTGTAATTGCTGCTATGAAGTTTTTATCATGGTACTACGATCTTGACTGTAATTCTATTATAGACTGAGTGGACAGTATAGTCCTAGACTGGTTCTATTTTTCCTGAGCAGCTAATGTCCCACACGAGAAGAACCCGTATAATTTATTCCTCATGAAATATTTAATCAAATAATGATTAAAGGTTAAAGATGGGCTGTACCGTGATACCACTAGAAGACATCGCTAGGGCTCGCTGCCTTAGAAGAGTGAGGAAAATCCTCAGGGATGACTAACACCCTGGTCAGCCCTTCTTTAGTCTCCTCCCATCTGAAAGGAGATATAGAAGCATAGGTAGCTGCACAAACATACTGAAGAACGGTTTTTATCTCTGGGCTGTCAGACTCCTGAATGAAAAATAACTCTACAATAACATAGTACGATTGACTTGCAGGGTCAGCGTGACATGCAATAAATTCACATGATGCAATAGGACTGGGTGTTTGTTAGTAGGATTCACTGGGCTAAGGATTTTTTGTCTTTCACTGTGAGTTGTATTGTGTTGGGTGGGGTGCAAGAAGGAAGAATCATTGTACACATGTTGTACTCTGACAAAGGTTTGAATTGAATTCGTCCTAGAATCATTTGCACTACAATTTGAATATTAATCCTTAACTTTGCACCTACTTTTAAAGGAAGTTATGCCTACTTCCTAAATTGTAATTATATAACATAGGAGTTGACTTTTCACAACAGCCAATTATTCTCTATTTTGTTTTTCTTATCAACTGTTGTTAAGCCTAGGGTGCTTTATGGCTGGTGTTTGTCTTTTTGAATTCTAAAGTCCCAGAGCACTTTAGTTTCTTTAGTATTAATATTTTGTGTCCATAATCTATGGTTAGATTCACAGATTAAGGCTGTGAGAAATTTTAGAATTCAAATCCTAATCAAGGAGATAATAATTATTAAGGCAGGGGCTTAGAAAAGAAACAATTCCAAGCAGGACACGGTCTTTTTTTTTTTTTAATTTAGAGAATTCTTGTCCGATAAATTCAATACTTTCAGTAATTAAAGAAGTCCTTTAGGTGTTACTCCAACATGGTTGGTATATCAAACATGTTATGAACAAGATGCCTGTCTGTTTGGATCTTACAGTCCCATAAGATCTTAACCTGTTCATGTTCCAAAAGCTTCTCAACTTGATAATCCCAGTAGTTTCCACTGCATTCAAATCCAAACCTCTGGCAAAATTTCCAATGAATAATCCTGACAACTCAGAAATGACCCTGCTTGCAATTATGAAATTTTGCTGCAGCAAAAAATCTATTATTGTTGGTTCGTTGCAGTCAGCCAGCTATTTTGAATGGATTTAGCATTTTTGTCCATCTATAGAATCCTTCCCAAGGACATGGGAAAAACATACGTTATTGTTGGATGATATTAAAGGTATTGTTGCAAGATGTAAGCTGTTTCAAGCTGCCCTTTGTTATTGACAGATGGTAATTTTGTCATTTTACTGATAATTTATTTTTTCACAATTATTTTGTCAAATGTTTATTATTATCTTCCTAGTTGTATTAATTGAAATAATTTAGATTTAGATCATTGATATAGCATTAATTTTGAATGGTGTATAGTATGAGTGGCAACCTTTGTCATTTGCCATACTGGGTTGTTGAGAGTTCAGCAATGTATGGAATAAGAAGTCCCAAATCTAGATTTTTGCATTCCATGCACCAGAAAGCTGAATAAGAATCATCTTAATGATACTTTCTGAAATGTAAGTAGGGTTATCTATCATATCAGACATGCCTCTTGGTTCAGGTAGAAAATGAGACTGTCAATGAGTTAAATGCAATGCTTCATGATGCTTCTTTCTTCCATGTTTCTCTTCTATGATTCATTATACAATTCATCATGGCATCATGATAGCAAGCCAAATAAATAAATACCAATATTATTGCCTCTTAGTTTTATCTGTAGTTTCACTTTAAACTTCCATGCTCTGAGGTATCCTTCATAGAAAAAAGGTCCATAAAATTGGTCATACATTTGTAGAGCTTCCTTTGTTTTATTTCTGGCAAGATTATAATCTTGCTGTGGTTGTATTACATCTTTTTTATTTTTTATTTGAAAATAATTCATAAAAATTCCATTAAGCCACAGTATAATGTCTTAATCTTTTTATGAAACATATGCTCCTCTAACTTGACACTCTTCACTGGCCATTGTTCCTGCAGGATGAGCCTGCTTCTGCTGACAAACCATTTAAACAGGAACCAACCCAGGTCACAAACTCAACATCAGTTTCCAGTACACAGGAGGTGCTGTACATCAATGGAAATGGGACCTACAGTTACCATAGTTACAGAGGGTTAGGAGGAAGTCTGTTAAATCTCAGTGATGCTTCTACTAGTGGTGAGTGGTTTTGCACTTTTGCATATATATTTACATGCATGCATATCTGTCCTGTTTGAAAAATTGCTTCCTCTTTATTTCAAAATAAAAAATAGCCAAACTATTCGGTTGTACAATGGGCTAGCATCCTAATATTATGTTAATAGACACAGATTAATAATATTTAAACCTCATCTCTTTCTCTAATTAAACCTAGATCTATATAGTATAAAATGTAGAGTATTAGATTTGGAAAAACAAAAAAAATCATGGCAAAGCAAGGTAATTGGAAAGAATTTTCATTTTCTTTAATAGAATGGAATTGTCTCTGCCTACTTTATCCACTTGTCAACATCCATGATGTTTCATTCCCTTCAATTTTTCTGAATTTCAGTTATATTGCTAAAGAATATTGCAGGTACTTAAAAGAGGAAAAATAGTCATTCTGATAAAATTCACAGGGAAATGTGGAAGTATTAGAGCCAAAACTGATATATTTATCTTTAAGTCAGAATAATACTTACTTGATCAGACTACTAGTTTCCTTATCTTTGGGATTAATTAAGAAAGTATTGTTTGCTCCAAATCACTATTGTACAATTTCTTGTTTTGAAGTATTCTGTGACTGTGATAAAGTTGCAATCTTGATCTGAACTGCCATCTTTATACTTTCATGTCAACTTTTTATAATTACTATATATAAGGAATATCTTTAGTCTTTATGCCTCTCATTTGTACAAAACTCTCTCAATCTATATGTCTGGAAATATGATACAGATGTTTCCCATTGTAGAAACTACTAACATCATATATTTAATGTCATTCTGCCTCAAGAAACACCAAAAACAAGCACTCCTATGAATGTTTTATCATTTACATTTGTAATATAGAGGGCAAATCATCATGAAAAATGAGTATACGGTATATAGTAGAGTTTGTAACCTTCTTTAGGACAGCAACATCTTGGATGGATTTCTGAATAATTCTAAGAATTCTAAGACTTCTATATCCTGATTCTAACCATGTTTATTCAGAAAGGAGTGTCCCGTTTAATTTAATAAAAATTTCTTCTCAGCATTTGCAGTGGACAGTGGACTATAATATAGAACTGTTTTTGCAGTGTAAAACCCAGATGCTTAAATTATGCATATAATTAGTATCACTTATTTCCTATAAAAACATACTTAGAGAATAAGTGATAATATAATTTAATCTGTCTTTTAAAATATATGAAGGACAAGATATTGTAATACTATTCTTTAAAACAATTTGCCTACATTCTATTAAAACTCTCATTGTGTTTATCTGTTAGTCTGTTCTGTTTGTACACTCAACTTAGCCCAAAAGATGCATTATGCCATAACAAATTTTGAATCAAAGTAAATCTGCACATTAAAGAATTCATAAAAATGAATTCTATTACTATTACTTCTGTGGAATTGAAATTTCCATAATGTTCAGACCAATATTATTTGCAAACTTGTGGCCGTTTCAGCATCCCTGGGGTTATATGATCATGATTTCCGATGCTCCCTGCCAGCTTCTCATAAGCAGTGACAATGGGGATGCCAACAGAAAAGGAGGGAGTCATTCCTGCTTCCACTGCTTTTTTGCCTGCCTGGGATCATTTACTTTATCTGTTTAAGTACATATTGACTTATTATTGACGTGTGTTTGTCACAACAATTATTTTTCTATTTATGATATATACTCAAATTAGGTGAGTAAAATAATAATCAAGACATCCCCAAATACCTCCACAGTGGAAACATTAATAGGCTTTCAGTAGCTTGTTGGGATTTTGGAAAGGAAGGAGTTGAGGTGTTTTGCTTACTTACTCTTTCCAGAAGAGATTGGACAGTCTGAAGTAACAAATAGAGTTTCCTGCTTGAGCTGAGGGGGAGGGGGGAGTTGGACTAGAAAACTTTCAAGGTCCCTTCTAATTCTTGCTTCAAACACTTCTACAAAGAAGCAGGAAGAGGGTTCTCAAGAATGAGAAAGTGGAACTCCTTTTCTTTCATCCATCCATTCAGTCAGTGTCCTGAGATTATATTTATGCTGATGACAGTGGTTCTCCAATGCAGTTCTCAAGTAATTTCTTCTGACAAATCATCAGGGAACATCCTGAATCTGCACAGCTGCTAGAGAGTTACTGAGTTCTTTTATTACTTCATAGCATTGTAAATATTTATTAAAATGATTGAAAGCAAAATGCAGTCTAAAATGCAACCTGTCATTGAAATTATTAAATAAATAGTTCCTTTTACATACCTTTCATAATTAGATGATTGGGGTCTTAATAGCACAATCTGCGTGGCATTTGAAAGAGAATAATTCCTCCTCTGATTTGAAAGCTGAATGTATCCTTGCTTATGAACTGCTCAGAGTTTTCCTGTAATGTGCGATATATGATTTTCAAGAAAAGTGAGAGAACATTTTCCTCATTTAATGATGCAGTTTCCATCTTTAGAACTGACCAATGTTAATTACAGTATTTCCCTCCCCCATATCTCGAAGCAGTGTTCTATTTTTTTAAAAAATAATAATTATCTGTACTAATATAAGAAGTACTGCTTTTTAAACCAATTAGAAATAATGATTAAATTTGCTAGGACTTAATGTCTTGGATAGGCCATTGAATCTTAAACTGGCTGTCAAATACTAGCTGCTGGATTGCTGGAGTAACTTAGACATGGCTTTGCTAGTCCTAAGCTGTCTGTGCTTTTTCAGTGAAATAAGCATGTATCTTATTCTGACTTGCATTTTAGAATTCTAAGTAATTGATGACGCCAACAAGTAATTTATGGAGCAATAACTACTTCCTGTTAAAATTTGCAAATCATTTGTCCAGCAGTGTGTTTAATGTCAGATTTACTCAGCAGTTAATATGATAAATGAATGTCTAATTTTTGAAGAGGATTCACAGTGCTTGTAGCATTTTGAATGATTTACCGTATATACTCGAGTATAAGCCGAGTTTTTCAGCCCACTTTTTGGGCTGAAAAAAAGCCGCCTCGGCTTATACTCGAGTCTACAACTGGATCCGGCAGTGCTG